TTTTGTATTCTGTCCACGAAAGTTGTCTGATGCCCACTAGCCGACTTGGCAATCATCTTGAAGTTGCCTTTTGGCATGTAATACCATTTCGTCCTGGACTTGTGGTACGGACGTGCGTGCTGCTTCGAGAGGTCCAATAACCAGCTCGTGCAGTTAGTAATTGCCACGGTTTGGGCATGCGATGGGGTCTAATCAAGTCAAACACGCATGTGCCTACCACTGGACAGAATACGCCCCACATAAAATGCTACCCCACCTATGCTACTACAAGGTGACCTTTCACTACATTGAAGGTCGTGTTGCCCTAACCACGATGTTCACTTGCATGTTTTTCGCGCTGCTTTTTTTCCTCGCAGTCTTTTCTTTCCGTTCCCCCCTTGTAACCCAAAGTTGAAGAACGGGCTATCGGCCAGACAATCTCGGCTGCCTCTCTCCTCTCTCTCCTCTCTCTCCTCCTGCAACTCCCCCTTCAACCAACTTGAAGTAGAGGTAGAGAAAACGCGGTTTGCTTACGTGACACTACTCGCTCACACCTGGAAATATATCATCAACTACAACCTTGCGCAAAAGCTCTTGGGTTTTCGTGGTAGTTTNTCCGTTCCCCCCTTGTAACCCAAAGTTGAAGAACGGGCTATCGGCCAGACAATCTCGGCTGCCTCTCTCCTCTCTCTCCTCTCTCTCCTCCTGCAACTCCCCCTTCAACCAACTTGAAGTAGAGGTAGAGAAAACGCGGTTTGCTTACGTGACACTACTCGCTCACACCTGGAAATATATCATCAACTACAACCTTGCGCAAAAGCTCTTGGGTTTTCGTGGTAGTTTGACATGGGAAGCTGTTGAATATAGTATCTACCATTTGCAACCTATAAGTCGGGCAGCAGATCATCTGCGATGTGCGCCTGTAAATGTAAGCAGTGGCCTACACTTGCCTAGACTATTCCGTAGGTGACACAAGATACCATACCCCCTGGACCGATTTTCAAAGCTCGATTAATCCACGACGAAAAGGATGCGTGCATGAAACGACTGTTTCAGAAAGCTCTCGACAAGACGGCTTCAACGCCGCCGTTTCCGGCGCTGCCACTCTTCTGCTGTGTAAATATCGAGCTTGGAAAATCGGTCCAGGGGGTATGANCCTACACCTGCCTAGACTATACCGTAGGTGACACAAGATACCATACCCCCTGGACCGATTTTCAAAGCTCGATTAATCCACGACGAAAAGGATGCGTGCATGAAACGACTGTTTCAGAAAGCTCTCGACATGACGGCTTCAACGCCGCCGTTTCCGGCGCTGCCTCTCTTCTGTNCCGATTTTCAAAGCTCGATTAATCCACGACGAAAAGGATGCGTGCATGAAACGACTGTTTCAGAAAGCTCTCGACAAGACGGCTTCAACGCCGCCGTTTCCGGCGCTGCCACTCTTCTGCTGTGTAAATATCGAGCTTGGAAAATCGGTCCAGGGGGTATGATATCTTGTGTCACCTACGGTACCTACATGAGCGTAGCTTCGGTCTTAACCTGAGCCGGAGATGGGTAGGTTTTCGACACGTTAAAGGATGGCTTTGGGGCAAACGCTCTTCTTCAGATGTCGTATTGCTTTGTTGTTGCCTGTGGTTGGACGTCGGAAAAATATCAAGATACGGCAGATGGAAGTAGCACAGAGCAGCAAGCACATAGATGAGACTAATGCTGCAGATCTGGATGCTGATGCGGCCGTTGAGTGGCAATCGTTTTTTTTCTTGTGTGTCAACACAGTCAGCGGTTCCGGTCATCTCGAAGCTGTGCAAAGTAAGCCTAGACCTACATGCACCTAGATGCAGCTAGATATTCCACGCTCTTCGTACATGAGCAGAACACGCGAGCAGGCGCGCACATACAAATTGTTCAGAGCACGAGCAGGACGCGCTCTTTGTATTGATTGCTTCCGTACGGTTTCGCGGTATTCTTCTCCTTCCCTGCACACCATGAGTCTCCTGTGCGCGCAGACACTACTCCACAGAACACACAAACAGGCAGGCTCTGCAAGTCTGCACAGCTCTGGCTCAGTCCGCAAGCAAGGTGTACCTCCAAACCGTCAAGCAAGAACTGAGGCGCGCGCGCGCCGACAGCACGGCATGCTTTCCGAACCCTCCGGAAACCCCACCCCCGAACCCCCTAAAGATCCCTTCGCACGATCGGTAATCCGACCTCCCACACAGATGTAGGAATGGTGGCTAGGTGGCAGTGAGCAGCGCTGTGAACCTCCGGGGAGTGGGCAACACACCCCGTTGTGAGCTCGCCGATTGCAAAACCAGCCGCGAACAACACACAACGAGTTGTCAAGGATCGCAAGCATTCCTCCAACACGCCCTCGCCGGGTCCAACTACCTGACGCGAGCACCCTCTGTGATATGCAGATAGTGAAAGCCGCGAGCTGTACAGCAGGCGCTGCCTGCAGCTGCTCAATCGCAGGTGCCAAGTTGAGACTTCGTGTGCGCGAGGTGAACAGAAAAAAAAAATCGCCCCAAACCACGTGCCCAAAAGGGCAGTTTTTTGGGGGAAAAAAAAAATCCGCTTTCATCGCTGCATTTTTGTTCCCCCCCGCGCGCAGCAGGAAAGAACACTAAAACGCTCACACACCCTGGTACAACACTGAACTCCGACGGATCGTTGCGGATGGTTTGCGCGGTTGTTCTGTTGCATCATGGGGTTTAACACCAGCACGAGTGATGAAGGCTTCGCAGAGCACGCAAATATGGTTGACTACGTAAGAGACGCCCACCATCTGGAGTGTCCCATAATAATACCCGCCCATGAGACGCCGCCCATGAGACAGACGTCGATGGGATTGCCCATGAGACTGCCCATGAGACTACCCACGAGACTGCTCATGAGGCTGCTCATCAAAATGGTAGTGTGCACCTCATGAGCAGCTCATGAGCGTCTCCTCAGCGCCCATGAGCGGCGCTCATGAGCAGCCTCATGAGCATATCTCGTGGGCGTCTCATGGGCAGCTAAATGCTCATGGGACGCCCATGGCTCATGAGACGCTCATGAGACGCTCATCACCTGCTCATGAGCGTCCCATGGGTGCTCATGAGACGCTCATGAGACGCTCATGAGCTGCTCATGAGCGTTTCAGCAAAACCGCGGAAAGTGTGACAGTCCCTGAATTGCTAGAACAATAGCATAGCATTCTTTCATGGTGACAGAGTAGTGTTGTTGGCTTTTTTTGTTGAATCGCTGGCTACAGTATGCTACGATATTCACGTCATCGCCATTCATTCTGTTGTGCCAGGAATGCTCCTGCTCCCACTTCAGATGCGTCTACGTGGTAAACAAACTCTTTAGAAAAGTCCGGAAAATGCAAAACAGGAGCTTTGGTGAGTAATCGTTTCACTCCGGCAAATGCTTCATCATGTTTCGGACCCCAGCGTTTCGCTACCGACTTCACTGCGTCTTTCTTCGTAAGGTCCACCATTGGTGCGGTGACGGCGGCTAAGTCTGGGATGAATTTTCTGACATAGTTGACCGTTCCTAGGACTGATCGCAAACTTTTGATGTTTGTTGGCGTTGGCAACTCTAGTATCGATTTAATCCGATCTTCACCTAAACGTATGCCATCTGCGGAAAGAATATGCCCCAAATACTTCACTTCCTTTGGCCCAAATTGTACCTTTGATGGTTTTAATGTAAGACCTGCGGCTTGTATAGCGCTTGAAAGGTATTTTCCAAAAGAGAGATGCGAAGGTGTACCGATTCAGGTAAAAGTCAATCGACGGATACCCTGCGAATCGTGTCCTCCTTAAGACTCTCCACCCACAGAATTTACCCTCAACTGGGAACCTCTTGTGGCCAGGATGGGCAATTCGATGGAAGTGTCACAAGGTTCTTTGTAGGATCGACTCCAAGAGGTGTTCTCAGGACTGACACACATTGTGTCCTTGGGAAAATATCCAAGTCAGGAGAAAAAGTGTGCACCCAAGGAGATTCGAACCAGTATCCTGCCGCTGACGCCATAATATGCGAAGGTGTACTGATTCAGGCAAAAGTCAATCGACGGATACCCTGCGAATCGGGTCCTCCTTAACAGATTTGACCCTCCCATGTAGATGAACAACAAACAAATAAGATCATCCATGTACACTAGAAGACCAGATTTTGGACCAAAATGTGCGAAAGTCAATGCCATCGTACGTTGAAACAGAAAAGGCGCATCGGCGATGCCAAAGGGCAGTCGTTTAAGAACTCATTTTCCGTCCAGAGTAACGAATGCAGTCTTGTCTTGTTCTGCTTCGGCAATTGGTATTTGGTGGTATGCACTGTGTACATCGCAGACTGTGATGTATTTAGCACCTGCTACTGTATCTCCCTTCTTCCCCTCGCTCCTCGACAAGCTTTTGCTTAGACATGGGTTG